CTCAGCCACCTGTATGACCATAGCTGGCCCTATTCTGGTCCTATATGCTGGACCAGATGGGTTCCACATGTCAGCCTCAACAAAACCTTAACCAAGCCACTTGAGCCACACACCCCTCCCAGATGAATAGTCACAACAACGACAGTATTCTGAACAAATATTTAATCATGTTTAATCAGCAAACCAAGTTGAATGAATCTCACACCTAACATGCTTATTTGTTTTGCTTGGGCAGTGTTCTCACCCTGTTGAAGTATGGCAGTGTGAATTGGCTTTTAGGTGCTTTGGAAAACAAAACAAAAACAGTAAAAAAAAATATATATATATATATTTTTAATGTTTATGCAATTAACACAATTCTTAAATAAGGTACTTTCTCTATTTTTGCAATATTCAAGTGTTCATGTCCCTGAATAATATCTGCATGCACCTAAGTCTGAAGAGTACACATAATATCTAGTAGACAGCAATCCTTGTGAGTGAGAAGTCTGGTGTGGAGTCTGGATCTGGAATTGACTTCTGTCCAAGTTATCTGTCTTCACGAACTGCCCTGAAATACAATTCAAACAAACAATGTAGTGAGAGCCTCTTACATTCACAATGCTCATTTTGGCCTCAGTGGTGAAGGGTGCAGAAAATTCTGCCGGACTGAAATGTAGTCTTTGGTGAACAGTCTTCAAGAGTGCAAATAAGATTTTAAGTTTTAAGTACCTTTCAGACTCGCGTGAGGTTTCCACAAGCAACAAAGTCTACTTGAACAAACACTTCACTGCGTTTAAAGTTGAAATACTAGTCAGATGGTTCATAGTGCCTTGGAGATGTTCTTCGACAGGAGATCCGCTCCAGCTCTGCAGCACGGCCATCAGCATGGAAGAATATAGGAACAATATGTCACATAACCAACAATATGTAGTATACAATGTCAGGTTTATTAGAAATAAACAAACTACAGCAGAGGTAAAATGCAGAAAAGAGAAATAATAATATACAAAACATACAAAAAAGAAAGAAAGAAACATACAAAAAAATCTTAAGATATCAGAATTCACATTTTTAGGTTTTACAGATGCATGATGATATAGTTGAAATATATTGTGAAAAATGCATAAAGTTATTTAATAAGATTTCTCAGATCACCTGTTTCCTGTATCTCTGTCAGCAGCTCCCATTACAAATTTTCTTGTAACTTCCCGTTTTAGTTTTTTTCTGATGCTCCTGAAATCACAGTACAATTTATCAATATTTGTTTGCAATGAAAAGCTTTATGTTATGCATTTTAAAAATATATTGAAAAAATATATTTCAATATATTTAACAGTGTTTCACATATATATGAATATATTACCTTTCTGTATGGGAAAACACTGGGATTTTACTCAAAAATATTTGAAATGGATTTTAAATGTGGGTCAAGATCGGCCATACTTATGTGGCCCACAGCCAGATGTATGCCAAATCTGGGCCAAATTTGTTTGCTGACTGGGTCTTTAACAACACCAAATAGAATGGTGATCCATGGATTTTAAACGTTAGGGTTTTCATCACTTTTAATTTCATGTTTGTCTCTCATTTGAAATCTCACTGGATTTAATGTTTCTTTCAGACCTGGTGGACGTGAACAAGAAAGATAAAACAAACAGGAGCAAAAAATCTGTCACTTTCCCTCAGTGTAAAAAAAGATTGAGATGTAAACGAAGGCTGAAGATTCACATGAGAGTTCACACTGGGAAGAAGCGGCTCAGGATTTCGCTCTGAAATCACATCTGAACTCATTCTGAAGAAAGAACATTTAACTGTGATCACCTGACGATTCACACAAAGGAGAAGATTCATTCTTAATATTACAGCAGAAAAGATACGGCAGTGTGTGTTTAAGTGCAGGAAGTCTTTTACTACAGATGATGAACTGAAAGAGCACCAGAAAAATCACACTGGAAAAAAACCTTTTAAGGAGAGCCGAAGAAGAGGTCATAATACATTTAAGAGAGATGTGAATCTGATATTAATTATTAACTCATTCTTCTTTGTTTTTCATTCAAACGTCTAGTTTCTCTTCCACTTCTACTCTTCCATGCAAATACAAGATATAGAAACACAGAGGAGGCAACTCGCGCTCTCCTGCTCTTTTTGTGTTTTTCGTTAATCTGCCCTTTTGTGCTTTGTGATATCCTTCCTGGTTATAGTTTAAATTGTTATCTCGCTTATTCTTTTGATTATTTTCTTTTATGGTTTATTGTTGTTTGCTGATGATAATCTTCACTTTGCCCCGGGACTTTGGGACAGGTAGAATGTCATGTGACATACATGCTCCAACACCTAGTGACTTTTTATTGTATTAGATACATCAGTTTAGAAGTGAGCGCTGTTTTGTATCTTTTGTTTGGTTAAGTTCAGTATAGATAAGTTAGGGTGTGTAAATGCCGAAGATTTGCTTTCATTGATTTTCTTTTCTTTAGTTAGGTTAGAGGTTTAAACTGAGTTAGGTTGGTTTTGTTCTTTTATTTTCTTTAGCGCCACTTGTGTCCCTTTTCTCCTCTGGGCTTTTTTTTTTGTTTCACATTGTATGTGCTTTTCCCTTTTATTATTATTATTATTGGCATTAATAAAGTTATTTCACACTCTCCTTAACTTTTGTAAATAAATCACTTTCTTTTGGCAGACCTGGACTGGTGTTTTGTCTTTTGCCACCCGCGTGACTACAAAACTCATCACAATCTTGATGTTATTACTTCCAACCTAGAATTATGAAGTCGTAACATTTAATGGGGGCTCGTCCGGGATCAGCTCCACATTTTTTTATAATTGTGAGGGTTTTGTGTGTATGTTGGTGGCAACTGACCATACCCTTGTTGGTGTATCACGGCGACGTCCTTATGGGGATTCGTAAAGTAGCGCTCGTCTGCTGGTTGTGCATTGTGGTAATGTTTAACTTGCAGAATTGTATTACTAGTCCGTCATTAGAGCAGATTAATTTGAGTAGCAAGCAGGATTTGTTTTTGATAGCTGATCACTACCAGATTGTTGTGGGTAAACTGTTCCACAAGTTCCACTGACTCTAGCGAGGGCGCGCGACTGAAAGTCCGCTTGGCCCGTTTACAATATGAGGTACAAGAGAGAGCCCAAGCACGTCAGGCTGAGATTAATCTGCATCTGGAAGTACGCAGGCTCGAAATTGAGACTGACAAGCAGGTGAAGCTGCGACAGCTTGAACTGGAGGCAATGAAGGTTGCTGCCAGATCAGATGCGCAGCGAAACCCAGGTCAGGTCTCTAGTGGTGCTCCTCCGCTAGTTGATTCATCCCAGAGTACATTTGACGTGAGTAAGCACATTACATTAGTACCTCAATTTAGGGAGTCGGAAGAAGATTCTTATTTTAGTGCATTTGAGCGCATTGCTACTTCTCTTAGTTGGACTAAAGAGGTCTGGTCAATACTTCTGCAATGTAAGTTGCTGGGGAAAGCACAGGAGGTTTGCTCTACCTTGTCATTAGAGGAGAGTTTAAAGTATAAGTCTGTGAAGTCCTCTATACTTTGTGCTTATGAGTTATAACATCAATATCCCACTTTTGTTTTAATAAATGTGACCTGTCTGGATATCCTTTAAGTACATATTGTATTGTGTTGTGTGATGCTTTATTACTGTTAGTACAGAAAAAAAATGCATTATGCTATGTTAGCCACTTGACAAAATACTGTTTTCTCTGAGGCATGGTAAA